CCGACCCCTTCCACGGTCAAGGAACGATCCATGTTCATCTCATCGACGTCCATGTTGTGTTTCTTGAGGATGGCCTGGACGCGGCGGACCCAGGCGTCTCCAGTCAGATTGTCGTGAGCGCCTGGGTCGATGAGGAGGCCCTCGCGGTCCGGCCCTTTCAGGCGGGCCCTCGAGTGCCAATACTCAGCCTCACCACCACCGCCGTTCATGCTCATGTCAAGCTCAACCATGCGTGGGCCCCAGGGATAGTGGAGTTGAGGTGCTCGTGGTCGTAGGATGTTGCTGATGGCGTGCATTTGCTGCGTGCGGTCCTCGTGATCGTCGTGGCCACGATTAGGTCGTCGCCGTTGGGGTTGATCATGCTGTGGTGGTGGCTGCGGCGCGAACCCCGCACCAGGAGCTGGACAACCAGCTAACGACAGACCTGGTACCAATCCAGGCTGATTAAGCCCTACACCTGGTACCAATCCAGGCTGATTAACACCTACACCTGGCACCAATCCAGGCTGATTAACAACTACACCTGGCACCAATCCAGGCTGATTAACACCTACACCTGGTACCCATCCATGCTGATGGTCAACCAGCGGCCCTGGTGCCGATCCAGGGCGTTGCCACGATTGAGCCACCGTGGCTAGAGATGCAGGTGCCGATCCTGCAGGCGCCGCAGGGACCAATCCTGCGAAGCCGTGGCCTATGGGTGGCCTTGACGCTGGTGCCAATCCAGCCGTCCCTTGAGCGAGAAGTGGCCTAGATGGGGATGGTGACGATCCAATCATTGGGATACCATGGCCCAGATATGATGTGGATTCTGACGCCGGTGCCGATCCGGCCATCATCTGGAAGGCGGAATAGGCGGCAGCCTGCGGAGTAACAACACTGGATGCAAGGGTGCCTGGTGCCGGCTCCAATCCGGCATCGCCTCTCTGTGCCAGGGCCTCGCCGCCAGTCCCGCCAGGTGTCATCTCACTCTGCCTCGCGCCAGCAGGTGCCATATCACTCGTCGCGCCGGCAGGTGTCATATCACTCGTCGCGCCGGCAGGTGTGATATCACTCCTCATCCTCGTCCTCGCATCCTCTGCCTGAAGGGGAGGTTGAGGAGGAGTGATGTGTGACAGATTTTGAATGATGGATGACAGATTCTGGCATTTAGCCAAACACGGAGTGAATGCTGGAGCCGATCCAGACATTCCGCTTGGCGCTGGTACCGATCCAGCTGGCCACTGAGCTCCGGGCTCAAAGGCTGGGGCCAATCCAGCCGTAGCAGGGCTGCCAGGAGCAGCCGCGATGTTCTCGACCATCGCTAAGCATCCTGGTGGCTGTGGCTGCGGCGCGGCCGCCGCTGGGCCTCCCCAGGGATCTCCGCGGACCCACGGGTCCTCGCCGTCGGAATGGGCAGCTTTTCCGTGATCCAGCCTGCAAACTACGGCCTGCGGCCTCCCGCGCCTGTCGTCCCAGTCAACCTCGTAGGTCACCTCCGCGCCGGCGGAGAGCGAGGGGCCCGTGACATTCGACGCGTGGATGAAGATGTCCTTGCCGCCGTCGCTCGGGACAATGATGCCCCAGCGCTCCTTGTCGTTGTACTTCTTGACGCGGCCGCACACGCGCTCGCGCAGGGGCTCGGCGTCGGTGGCGCCCGTGTCCTGCAGCTGGAGCGGCTGCTGCTGGCCAGGAAATGTGGCTGGCTGGCCAACAAGTCCCCAGGAGGGCGAAGATTGCTGCATCTGGCTATTCACAACCATGTGCTGCGCCTGCGTGAAGAACATGCCAAGGCTCGTGGTCGCCACTGGCTGGCGGTAGCCGCAGGCGCCCATGAACTGGCGCGCCGCGCAGCCTTCCGCCACACCACCAGAAATCATCCTCTGGATCTGCTGCGTCTGGTCCGTCTGGGGCGCGGCCGGCGCGGCACCGTCCGCGTAGTGGAACCGCGGGCGCTTCGGGCAGTGCGCCACCAAGTGTTCGTCGGAACCACACTGGTGGCATGTCAGAACCTTGCCGTCCTTTCCCGTGGGGTTCTTCTTGCCCCGGCCTTTCGCCTTGCCACCGAAGTAGGCCGAGTTGGAGCCAGCAGAACTGTGGTAGATGCCACCATGCTTGCCGAAACCAAGGCCTTTGCCGGACTTGCCCTTTCCGGGCTGCTTGCCCCAAGACCGGCTCTTGCCCGAACCCTTGCGGGCAGGGCGTCGCGAGGCCCTCGTGTGCTTGCCCGTGAAGTGCCTCCACTTTCGGCGCGGAAGCACGTATGCTTGATGAAGCTCGTTGGCCTTCTGGTTGCTGTAATCCTGCTGGTCGTGGTCTGGTGGCGGCCCTTCCTCTGAGGTGGCGCTCGACGAGCCGTCGTCGTCTTCGTCGTATACGTACATGCCGCACGCCTCGCACTCCATGCCTGGGTGCGCGTCTGGCCAGCCGGTACCTGATCCGGCCATGGCCGGAGCAGCCGCGGCAGAACACGGAAAGAATCCGCCCGAAGCCGCGGCCCCTTGGGGAACGGACGGAGCACCGCCCCCCGGCTCGGCGAAGAAGCTCCCAAGGCCTCCGTCCGCGAAGTGCGCGCCCTGCTGGGGTGACTGGTTCATCACGCCCTCAAGCAAGTGGCCCTGGCGGCGGAGGTGTTCTTCCATCTGGATGAGCTCCTGTTCCTGCGTCGGCATGTTGCCGCCGAACGGCTGCAGCAGCAGCGTCCACATCTGTGGAGACACGTGGAGTGCCCGCAACAAATGGTATGCTGTGCCTGTAGGTCCAAGGTTCAAGTTGGCCTCCTCGTTCGCCCTGAACCGGGCCGTGGCGTAGCGGCACAGCGCAGCGTCGATCGTCTCGCCGCTCATACGCTGAAAGCCAAGATACGCTTGAGCTGCCTGTACGTTCTGCTCGTAGCCAAGCGGCAAGAACTTCTGAGACATCACATATAGCACAATCGTCAAACCGGTCTGCATGACAGGGCCCCGGCCGTCCATCATGTCGATGGGGCCACCATTGGCCAAAACGTTCACGTCGATGGCCCGGAGGATATCGCGGACCGTGCCCGTCTGCTGTAGCACGACCGCCGGCGCCTGCTGGTTGATCGGGAGGTCTGTGACCATCGACCACAGCATCACATCTTGTACCCATTTGCGGAAAGGGTACGTGGACGCCGTCCCCGGGTCCCATCTTGGAGGCACCTTCAGGCTGGTGCTGCCGTACACCGTCCCCGAAGGAGCAGCTGCAGTCGGCGGTGGTGCCGACATGTTGTTCTGCGGAGTGGCTGTACAGTGGTGCTCGCACGAAGGCGAGCGGTAGCGTCCAAGAAGCGAAGGATCTTAGTCCCCCGCTCCGCTGCCAAAGTTGAGAATAGGAATGGGATGTAGGAGAGATCTTTTCCAGTACGTGTGAAACAAAGCTTGATTCTCTGACTCGAGCCTAATGGTTACGGTGAGGGCTGGCCGCAACGCGCGCGTAGCAGAGGTCACCTGGCTGGGAATATACCTTTCGACTCTCCTACACATCGCTGTTAGGTTGCTTTGCCGGGGTAATTATATGATCAGGCATGCGCTAGGATGGTCGGAGCAGCAGGGGGCCGGCCCAGAGAGCATCCCTGCCGTGCGTCAGCCCAGAACGGCCGCGATCGCAGTGCCTGCTGGACCGCGAAGAAGAACAAATGGCTCGGCGTGTCTTGCACAAGGGCTTGGGAGCGTAGATGGTCACGTGTTGTCGCAGCCGCGGCAAGGGGAGGGGGAGAAGGAGGACGACGACGACGATGGCGAGGAGGAGATGGAGATGGATGCAAGAGAAGCAGGAAGTACACGTGGATGTGGAGGGTAAGGAGAAGACGAGCAGAGGAGAAGGAGCACCTGGGAGGAGTGCTGGAGGGGTGAGGAGCAGAACGAGGGGATGGATGAGACCGAGGCCTCGGAGACGGAGGGGGGAGGCAGGAGGTAGCCCAACGAGCGCTCGAGAATCCCTTCCACCCCACCGCACCCTCGTCACCCTCTTTCCGAGCACCCTCCCCTTGTCCCCTGGTCCCCTCCTCCTCCCCACACCTCCTCCTCCTCCTCCTCCTCCTCCTCCTCCTCCTCCTCCTCCTCCTCCTCCTCCTCCTCCTCCTCCTCCTCCTCCTCCTCCTCCTCCTCCTCCCTCATCCCAACACCTCATCCTCCTCCCTCCTCCCTCCCCCATCCTCCCTGCTGCTGGATTTGGGGATCCAGCCCCGGAGGGAATTCAGTCTGAATGGGGTCTCAGTTTCTCCCTCCGCCATCCCTCTCTTCCCTCCCCTGGGGGAGGAGGGGGGGCGCTAGGTTCGACTACACGTAAGAGTGACCCTTCGCCGGAGTGACCTTTGGTGCAGGCCCATTGGGGTCCCCGATCGCCGAACGCGAGGCGGCAGTGGCGTCTTGCGCGCTTGTGTTTGGCCCCCCCCCGCGGCCCCCAAAGAGCCGCGCACCGAAGGTCACTCTTACCCAGGGTCGCTCGTAAGTGCAGCCGATCGGCGGGGAGTGGGTGGGGAGGAGGAGGAGAGGAGAGGCGAGAGGAGCACGACGACGAGCAGGATGCCCTCCCCGGCCCAGCGCTCCTGGCCCGGGAGACCGCGCCCCGCACCACGCCCTGTCGGAACACGGAGCTGCGGCGAGGGCACCAAGATCCGGCGGCTTCGCTGTCTGTTGCGGTCTCCGATTTGGACGCCCGCAATGGGCACGGAAAGAATGGGTACAATGCCCAACAACAAATGTTGTCCCAAACCAACAGCGGCCGCTGTTGGGCAGGCGGCCTTCTATCTCAAATGGACACAGGCCGCGGCGGCGCGGACAGCGAGCCCTGCTCAAAATGAACAGGAACTGCTGTTGGGCATCGTACCCATTCTTTCCGTACCCATTCCGTTCGTGCCTATCCGAGCATGCCGCCAGCGGAGGGCGGCGGAGGGTGAAAGGGAGACGTCCACATGTGTTGGGTCAGGTTTTCTGGGGTGGGCCAAACGTGGTTTCGAACTCCACGTCAGCACGGCTTTTTGGTCGGACGGTTGTTTCGCAATGTTGCGGCGGCGGGAGACGTTGAGCCAAACGTGGTTTCGAATTCCACGTCAGCACGGCTTGTTGTTCGGACGGCTGTTTCGCGATGTTTCGGTGCTTGTCGTTTGCGCCCTGGCTTGACGTTTGCGGACCCAGCAAAACCATCTCCATGGTTCCCCTCCTCTCCGCCTCGTTCGCCTGAAGGCGTAAAAGAGGGAGATGAGAGGGATGGAGGGAGAACGCTCTTGTGGTGCTCCCTCCCCCCTGCCGCCATCCTCCCTCCTCTCCCTGCCTCCTCCCTCTCCCGCCTCCTCCCCCCTGCCTCCCTGCCTCGGCGCTGCGGGCGCGGCGTTCATCCAGATGTCCTCCTCGCTCCCTATGCTCGGGCGAAAGCGAGGAATGGAGAGAGGGACGGAAGGAAAAGGGAGGATGAAGAGGAATATCGTTGTGGGTACATAAGTGTGCATGAATATAGTCATACAATGTCTTACAGATTTTGCCATCAAACCGACGCCAGCCGGACTTGTACGAGGTGCTCGAGCTGCCCCGCGGTTCGGGGCCCGAGGAGATCAAGGACTGTGCCCCGGGCTGGCTCCGTCTCTCATGCCGTCGTCGTTTCGCTCCTCCTCGTCGTCGTCGTTCTCGTAATCGTATTGGTCGCGGGAAAGAGGAGGGAAGGAGGGGCAGGAGGGGCAGAAGGAGGGGGATGTCAGGGGAGGACGACGGAGGAAGAGAAGAGAAGAGATATAATGGGGAGGAGCAGGGCGAAGGGGGATGCACGGGCAGGAGAGGCGGACATGTGTCGGTGGATGTAGGAGCACACGAAAGATGGTGATCGGGGGGAGGGGGAGGGACAGGGATAATTACCTCGGGTGCTTAGGCACATCGTCTCCAATTGCTCTACCGAGAGAGCGAGAGAGAGAGAGAGAGAGAGACTCTGCGGAGGAGTGCGAGAAAGAAGGTGAAGGGGAGGAGGAGGTGGGAGGCGGGTGTGAGGCGCAGTACGAGAGGGTGGCGGAGGAGTATAAGGAGAAGGGGGGCGTGCAGGTCAGAGAAACATAGGGGGAGCATGTGAACGAGCAGAAGGAAAGGAGGATCGAAAAAAGGCGACGGAATCTGACGAGGAGGGGGAGAAGGGAAACGATGCGGAGACCGAAGAGGAGGATAATGATGCTGATGATGATGCTGTTGATGATGCTGCTGCTGATGATGATGATGATGATGATGATGATGCTGATGCTGATGCTGCTGCTGCTGATGATGATGATGATGATGATGATCATGATGATGATGATGATGATGATGATGATGATGATGATGATGATGATGATGATGAGGAGGAGGAGGAGGAGGAGGAGGAGGAGGAGGAGGAGGAGGGGGGGGTGGAGGAGGAGGAGGATGAGGAGGAGGATAGAAATTACAGGACGCACAACACCGACGATGCTGCAATGCACACTCCCATACCAACTCCCTCTTCAGAAAGCACTGCCTGCATCCACTATGGAAAACGCCCCCCTGAGCGACGAGCGGACGAGGACCTAGGGAGGAGCTGGAGGAGGAGAATGCGGAGGAGGAGGAGGAGGAGGAGGAGGAGGAGGGGGAGGACTAGGGACGAATAAGTAATTGCCAACATCCTCTCTCTGCATCCTCCTTCTCTCCCTCCACCTTTCCCCCTCATAGAGTCCCCAGCCTTCAGGCGCCCCTTTTGACTTTTACCCCCCCTGGAAGCCCTTAGGCTCGATTCTCAGTCTCGACCCCGAGCCTCTTCCACCTCTTCCTCCCCATCGATCCTCGACCCTGGACCCTTGTCACCCTGTCCTCCCCCACCTCGTTACCATCCTCGAGCCCCTGCACCTCGTGGCGACGGCCGCGGCCGCGAACGCAGGCCGTCATCAGAATCTCACCGAAGGCTTCCTGTGGCTTTTGGCACCCTCGGCACCCTCCTCCTCCTCCTCCTCCTCCTCCTCCTCCTCCTCCTCCTCCTTGCACCGAGCGGAGGCTGCCGCTCGCCATGAAATAGCGGATGCCTCGGCCGCCGCCCGACGACCGAGGCCCCAGCGTGCCCTCTCTCTGAGCCTCCATGCGTCCCTCTACCCTGACTCCTTTCCCTCTCTCCTCGCTCGTCGCATCTCCTCGTGGCTCCCCCTTGCTCCTCCTCTTCCCTTTGCTGACCTCACCTGCCGCTGGGAGGAGCTCCGCCGAGTCCTCACTCGGAGCCCCCCTGCCTGGGCATGGGCCCACATCAAAACGCTGGCGGGGGCCTGGACTACAGCCGCCCGAGTCCCCTGCGAGCCGCCCCGCCAGTGCATCCTTGGCTGTCCTGACGCTTCCGATGACCTTGCCCACTACATCTCCTGCCCTCGCCTCCTGCACCTCCTCGCTGTCCCTCGGGGCTTCCTCCCCTCCTGTCCCCTCACCCGCCTTGGGCTTGGGCCCTCGCCTGACGCTGAAGTCGAATACCCGCGTGCGCGTTGCCACCGTGTGGTCGTCCTCAGCTTCCATATCTATCACAAGCTGAAGGCTGACCTGGCCTCCCACCCAACGAGGTCGGCGTCGCCCACTTACCATTACGAAATACGAGCTGCCGCTCTCGCCGCAATGCGTCGATAGAGCCTGCAGCAGTAGCTGAGTCACCGTCACTCAAGCTACGTGCGCTCCTCCTCCTCCTCCTCCTCCTCCTCCTCCTCCTCCTCCTCCTCCTCCTCCCCTCCTCCCTCCCTCCTCCTTCTCCCTCCTCCTCCTCCTCCTCCTCCTCCTCCTCCTCCTCCTCCTCCTCCTCCTCCCTCCTCCCTCCTCCTTCTCCTCCTCCTCCTCCTCCTCTCCTCCTCCTCCTCCTCCTCCTCCTCCTCCTCCTCCTCCTCCTCTCCCTCCCATCAGTGCCTCAGTCCTGTCTCCGGAGTGGCGGAGGAAGAGCCAGATGGTGGACCCTCGATCCTCCGCCAGAGCTTCCTCCTGCGGCCACCAAGAGGCTCAGGATCGAGCGCGCTCGACATCCCCGACGGGCCCGCTTCCACACGAGCACCTCGGAATGGAGCCGTCGGGCGGCCCATGCGGCGGCCGATCGGGCTCGGAGTCCGAACGGGCTCGGATGGTGGTGCCCATGGACGACCGAGAGGCGTCCAGATGTCCCCCAGGGGCCTATGAAGAGGCGATCGCCGCCAAAGTCCTCGACCTCGACCCTGCTCCTCCAGCCTCCACCGTCCTCGATGGCTCTTGGGCACTCGACCCCCCGAACCTGCTCATCGGCCCTCCTGCGGGCCTTGCGAGACACTCCCCGCCGGTGATGGCACTCGAGCGCCGAACGGAGCCCTGGGGGGGCGTCTTCGGAGGCCTCTGCGTCCGGAGGCCTCTGGAGGTCCGCGGCAAGCCCGAAGACCTCCCAGAATTCTGCGACCCAGGGTACCCATGGTTCCTCGTCCTTCGGTCCCCCCTCCCTGGCGGCTCGATCCTTCGTCCATCGATCCTGGATGCTCCGATCCTCCGTCTCGCGTCGAGCCTCGACCGGCCATTCTCGACCCCTCGCTCCCCGATGCTCGGCCCCTGGCAGCTCCGCGCCGGAGAGGCCGCGTACCGCCGCCTGGTGCGCGAGTGCCACCCGGACGTGCGCCCGGGCGACGCGGCCGCCGCGGCGCGGTTCCGCCAGGCGGGGGTCGCCGCCTCCTTGGTGACCTTGGTGGTCGCCGACGGTGTCGTCCTGGTCGTCGGTGGCGTCGTCGTGGTCATCGCCGTCGTGGTCGCCGACGGTGTCGTCGTGGTGGTCGTCGTTGTGGGAGGAGGACGAGGAGGAGGAGGCGGAGGAGGAGGAGGAGGAGGGCGACGACGAAGGAAAATAATGAGGGAGGAAGGAGGATGAGGAAGGAGAAGTTCGCGGGGGGATGGACGGCGTGACGTGCACTGCTGCCCCACATGCAGGCGGACGTCCCACATCATCCCAATCTGGTCGAGGCTCCCGACGGTGGGTCCTGAGAGAGACCCGAACCTGCAGGTGGCGACAACACAAACATCTCGCCCCCACCACCACCCCAAATACCCGAGAGAGCGGCCAGCGCACTTGAAAGCTCTCCAGCCGTCCCGTGGCTGCAGGGATGTCGGCAGCTCAGCCGCGACGAGGTCCTGGCGAGCTGGGGCTGCGGGGCGAGGGGCTGTTGGTGCTCTCTGGTGTCGCAGTGCTTGTCTTAAGTCGGGCCTGTCCCCCTATAGGGGGATTTTCGACGAAAAAATAAACAATACACCAAACATATCCTGGCGAAGGACCCAACCATATTCAGTTGTGAGTAACGCATTGTGGGTGCCGTTATCGGTGGGACACGACACGCGTGAGGGGCGCGCCGCAATGGGTGTGGCGGATGCGTGCGGGCACCCCCACTGGGGCCTTCGGTGGAGCCCCTATGGGGCCACGAAGCGCTGTGCTGGGTGTGGCGGACGCATGCGGGCACCCCCACTGGGACCTTCGGTGGAGCTCCCTATGGGGCCACGAAACGCTGTGCTGGGTGTGGCGGACGCATGCGGGCACCCCCACTGGGGCCTTCGGTGGAGCTCCCTATGGGGCCACGAAACGCTGTGCTGGGTGTGGCGGACGCATGCGGGCACCCCCACTGGGGCCTCCGGTGGAGCTCCCCATGGGGCCACGAAACGCCGTGCTGGGTGTGGCGGACGCATGCGGGCACCCCCACTGGGGCCTTCGGTGGAGCTCCCGATGGGGCCACGAAGCGCTGTGCTGGGTGTGGCGGACGCATGCGGGCACCCCCACTGGGGCCTTCGGTGGAGCTCCCTATGGGGCCACGAAGCGCTGTGCTGGGCATGGCGGACGCATGCGGGCACCCCTACCGGGGCCTTCGGTGGAGCTCCCTATGGGGCCACGAAGCGCTGTGCTGGGTGTGGCGGACGCATGCGGGCACCCCCACCGGGGCCTTCGGTGGAGCTCCCTATGGGGCCACGAAGCGCCGCGCTGGGTGTGGCGGACGCATGCAGGCACCCCCACTGGGGCCTTCGGTAGAGCTCCCTATGGGGCCACGAAGCGCTGTGCTGGGCATGGCGGGCGCATGCGGGCACCCCCACTGGGGCCTCCGGTGGAGCTCCCTATGGGGCCACGAAGCGCTGTGGTGGGTGTGGCGGGCGCATGCGGGCACCCCCACTGGGGCCCTCGGTGGAGCTCCCTATGGGGCCACGAAACGCTGTGCTGGGCGTGGCGGACGCAAGCGGGCACCCCCACTGGGGCCTTCGGTGGAGCTCCATATGGGGCCACGATGCGCTGTGCTGGGCGTGGCGGACGCATGCGGGCACCCCCACTGGGGCCTTCGGTGGAGCTCCCTATGGGGCCACGAAGCGCTGTGCTGGGTGTGGCGGACGCATGCGGGCACCCCCACTGGGGCCTTCGGTGGAGCTTCCTATGGGGCACGAAACGCTGTGCTGGGTGTGGCGGACGCATGCGGGCACCCCCACTGGAGCCGTCGGTTCAGCTCCCTATGGGGCCACGAAACGTGTGAGGGGTGTACCGAAAAGGGTGATGATGACGATCATGACGGTGATGGCGATGATGATGACGGTGATGATGATGAGATGATGATGATGATGATGATGATGATGATGATGATGATGATGATGATGATGATGAGAGGAGGAGGGAGGAGGAGGAGGAGGAGGAGGAGGAGGAGGAGGAGGAGGAGGATGAGGATGAGGATGAGGATGAGGATGAGGATGAGGATGAGGATGAGGATGAGGATGAGAGGAGGAGGAGGAGGAGGAGGAGGAGGAGGAGGAGGAGGAGGAGGAGGATGAGGATCAGGATCAGGATCAGGATCAGGATCAGGATGAGGATGAGGATGGTGATGATGACGTCGATGGTGATGATGATGGTGGTGGTGATGATGATGATGATGCTGATGATGCTGATGATGATGATGATGCTGATGATGATGACGATGATGATGATGCTGATGATGATGATGATGATGATGATGATGATGATGATGATGATGATGGGGAGGAGGGGCGAGGAGGAGGAGTGAACGCGGGGCGCTGTCTCTTCAAAACGCGGACCCAACACCACAGGATGGTTGGGGAAATAGTCAAACAATTGTCCAAAAATAGTCTGGGGACTATTGTTATCATATTTTCTGGGTCTCTTGGTGTATTATTAGGGATTTTTGTTTTTCGTCGAAAATCCCCCTGCAGGGGGACACGCACGACATAATGCCCGTCCCCGAGGTGCTGCGCACCTCGGAGCGCGGCACCCGCTCCACGGCTCGGCCTCCTCGCGGGCGGCAGTCTCCCTCCGCGCCGTCGAGGTGGCGGGGCGGCGTGCCTGCACGGCCGCACGTAGCGTTATGTCGGGCGTGTCCCCCTACAGGGGGATCTTCAATGAAAAATGCAAGATACCCCAAACATCCACCAAAAAGGTCCAAACATACCAAAAAAAATCGTCCCCAGGTTATCTTTGGATTATGTATTGGTTATTGTTGGTGTATTTTTCAATTTTTCGTCGAAGATCCCCCTGTAGGGGGACACGCCCGACATAAACGTAACGTGGTGCTGCGTGCTGTCGCCCGAGGAAAGGAAATTCGCGCCAGGGGGGTCCCGCGCAAATCCAAGAAATTTGCGAGGATCGTCGAAAGTTTCTGTTCATGATGCTCTTAGTCTTCTGGTCGTGCTGCTCCACATCCTGAACTCGTCTGCTGCCTGTCCTGCCGATTCCTCCGCTCCTCTCCGTCTCCCCCGTCGTCTCTGAGATTGGGGGGGGCGCCATGTGCATCCAGGGGTGCTTCTGATGTGCCGTTTGCCGCCCGGTCCTGTGAGCCTTGGCATCGCTCGGACGTGTGCGTGTTGTCGGCGGGGACAATCGAGGAGCAGATTGAATCATCGAGGAGCATGTCGAATCATATTGTCTGAAACCGAGGGGTATGTCAACCGAGGGGTCTGTCAGAGCTCCGGATGGGCAGCCGATCAATATGTGGAAGAGGCCGTCTACTTGGGGTGATTGGGAACTTCTGACGGTCCTGTTGGAAACGAGCTGTCAAGGAAATTGGGAGAAGCCATGTGGATATTTCAACAGTTGTGTAAAGTACGGGTCATTCTGGAATTGACAGGAGACATAATAATCAGATGTATGTCATTTGCGTTCTGAGCAAATCTGTATACATTTGCTTGGCCCTGTACGGTTTTTGGAGAAGGACAAATCCATGCTGGAGGCTTTCCCTTGCAAGCCCTCGCCGACAGTCCGAAGCGATCGTCGCATAGACCTGTACAATGAGATCGGTTCACACAGCGACACGCCGACGGCGCTCGCAAGAGTGGGGCCCGCCGCATGCGCCGGGGGCGCTCAAGACAGCAATGAGCGGCGTCTGGTTGGGGACTTTTGCAATGTGTCCCTCTGCCCGCCCCTCGCTCTTCTCGCCCTCTCTCTTTCTCCTTCTTCCTGGGCCGGCGCGGTCTTCTGCATTTCCCCGATATTCATTTCACTCGTTTTGCCCACATGTCTGCCAGGGTTGCACCTTTGTTTTCACTCGCTTTGCCCACATGTCTGCCAGGGGTGCACGGCCACAGCCAGCAGTCAACGCGAAACAGTGAATGCACGGAATCGAAAATTGAACGGGGAATGGACGTCCGAGCGATGGACAGAACCAGATGGCTTCCAGAGGGCCGCTAGCCGCTTCCATGATCGGGGGTGGACAGAACCCCCAACAGTGACACGTCGATTAGTGAATTGTCCGTTTTCGGTTTTCGAGAGGGCGCCGTGGCCGTCATTTTCCAGGCTTGTGCCCGCCAGGTTTGGGCGTCAGGTCGTTTTCACTAAGCCACGTTTTGCTAAAGTGAGGTCTGTCCATCCCCGACATGAGGGGATCGCGCTCCTGGCCCTCGTTGTCGCCATCGGTTGCCCACGCTGCTCCTGGCGATGTTGCCACGTCAGCTCCGCTTGGTGCATCTGTGACCTGGCATGCGATCCTCGCCCGGTTGTTCCCCGGCGCTTGTTCTGACGCGGCGCTCGCTCCTACGCTGCCTCCCTTCCAGGGTCTGTGGCCCAAGGCCTGCAGCAAGCGGGAGCAGGCCAGAAGCGCCAGGAAGCAGCGGGCTGAATCTGCTTCCGTCCGCAACCGACAACAGTCGCTCTACCCGTAACTCCGTAACTCCTCCCCCCTCCCCTCTCCTCTCGTTCTGCGCCCCTGGCGCGATGCAAGTTTGAACCGCTGGAAGAGTCGTGGTCCGACTTGGGAGCTTCCAGTTGTTGCGCCCTTGCGGGGCCCCGCCGCCCTGGTGTGTCCTTTCTTCCCCTCGCGTCTCCTCTTCTCGCGCTCGTGCTGCGCTTGACCGAACCGGCTCCTCTCCTCCCCTGCTTCCCCACAGCCGGGCCGCTGAATGAGGGGCCGTTTTCCTTGTGGAGGGGCTCAGTGTTCTTTGGTTGCTTTTTTAGGTTTGCTTGGGCGCTCCGTGGGTTTCACGTGGGACATCGAAGTCTAACTGATGAGAACAATGTGGCTTCGTTCCTTATCGAAGGTTCCTTATGACAGCGTTTCGACTGTACTGCTGGTGAGGCCTTGACGGCTGGCCGGTCGTTCCGCCGTTGTTGGCTGCGCGGCGGCACTGCCGAGCTGATGCACAGTGCTCACGGCTGGTGCAGTCATCGTTGCTTGTTTTGTGTAAAAAGGG